AGGAAGGTAGGAAGGAAGGAAGGGAGGAAGGGAGGGAGGGAGGAAGGAAGGGAGGAAGGAAGGGAGGGAGGGAGGAAGGGAGGGAGGGAGGGAGGGAAAAGGAAATACAAGTAGGACATTGGGCATCTTCTTCCAGAGGGACTGCCTCTGTGGTACCCGCCAGCAAGCTGTCAGCCCACCATCCACAAAAGCATTGAGGAGAAACCTCCTCTCGCAAATCCAAAGATTAATGTTTCTTGCAATTAATGTTTCTGGGCCATCAGTTTTCCTGCTCTCCTCTAGGTAATTCTAACAGGCAAATGCCACTGAGCTTAAAACAAATAAACCACCAAAATCTCCCTGGACCCCTTCTTTCTGCACCCCTCCTAAAGCAGAATCCTTGGAAGGTGGCTTGTGCCTGCAGCTGTCACTCATTCCCATCCTGCTCCTGAGCCAGTCCAGTCAGGCTTTGTCCCCAACCTCTTCCCAAGCCTGCAAGGCCCATGCCCGGTTCACATCCCACCTGATCCATCAGCAGGATGGGCCCTGCCCACCTGATGCTCTTTTCGCTGGCTTCCAGGACTCCATCTCCTCTGAGTGTCCTGCCTCCTCCCAGCCCCACTCCTCCATCACCTTGGCTGGTTCTTCCTTGAGTTGCGGGACTCAGTGGTCAGACTTCTCACATCTCTCTTTATACACAAGCAAGGGTGATCCCCTTGGTCTCCATCGCTTTAAACACTATCATCGCTACCCTGTCACCTCTTGCCTTCTTACTCTAGCCTGGCCTTTCTGCTAAGCTTCAGATCTGTACATTGGAAACTTGTGTCTCCACTGGACTGTTAATACATGTCTACCCTAACACTAGACTTTGGCACATTCAAAACTGAACCCTAGGGGTGGAGATTTAGCCCAGTGGAAGAGTACTTGCCTAGCAAGGGCAAAGCCCCGAGTTTAGTCCTCAGCTCTGAATAACAAACAAAGAACCAAACCCCTGAACTTTGGATTTCCCTCCCCTATTTTTTTCTACCCCAGAGCTCCCTATCTCAGAAATGGTCCCATCATCCATCCAGCGGCTGTAGATCAAAGCCCTGGCAATTTTTATGACCTATCTCTGTCACATCCAATGTGTGCTAAGTCTACCAGCAAATCCTATCACTTCTGCCTTCAAAGTGCAGCCCTATCCCAGCTGCTCCCCTCGCCCCGCCCCCCCTCCGCGGTGCCGCTATGGTTGGTTGAAGTGTGGTAACTGCAGGGGCTTCCTCTCCAGCTTCCACTGCGTCTTCCCTCCAGTCTTTCCAGACCCAGCAGTCAGTGCAATTCTCTTAAAACATCATCTTTCCTCTGCTCAGAACTCCCCCAGAATAAAACTGACAGGTGCTGGGAGTAGGGACTGAACTCATGGTTGAGTATGCTCATGCTCAAGGCTGGTGTTCTACTATTTGAGCCACCGCTTCACTCCTAGCTTTTTGCTGGTCAATTACAGAGAAGAGTCTCATGGACTTTTCTGCCCAGGCTGGTTTTGAACTACAATCTTCTGAGCTCAGTCTCCTGAGTAGCTAGGATTACAAAATTGAGTCACAAGCACCCAGCTTGCTTTTTAATTTTTGAGCATACGCACTATCTTGTTGAATTAATTCACTTGCTCTTCCAAACCCTATGAGGCACTGATATTATTTATCCGCAAGGTGAGGTGAAGAGACTAAACACCAAGGTGAATTTCCCAGCATGCCATGGGGGATGTTGAGGACAGAGCTGGGACAAACTCCAGTCATCCACATCACGTTCCTTCTTCCTTCCCTTCCTTTCTTCTCCCTCCCTCCCCCCCTCTCTCTATCCCTTCCTTTCTTTCTTTTTTTTGATGGTCTCAGGGTTTGAACTCTGGGCCCTGGGCACTCAAGGCAAGGGCTCTACCACTTGAGCCACAGCATCACTTCCGGGTTTCTGGTGATTTATTGGAGATAAGAGTCTTATGGACTTTCTTGCCCGGGCTGGCTTTGAACCACGATCATCAGACCTCAGCCTCCTGAGTGGCTGGCTGGCATAAGCCACCAGCACCAGACCCATACATACCTTCTGACTAGCACAATCCCACAGGTATTGCAGGACAAAGTTTGCTGTGTTTAAAATCTGACATAGACTACCCTTTTGCAGTCCTACTTAGGCTTGCTTTTATTTATTTATTTGTTTGTTGTGGGGCTTGAACTCTGGGCCTGGGCACTATCCCTCAGCTCTTCAGCTCAAGGCAAGTGTTCTACTGCTTGAGCCACAGTACCACTTCGGTTTTCTAGTGGTTTATTGGAGATTAGAGTCTCCTGGACTTTCCTGCCCGGGTTGGCTTTGAACCGTGATCCTCAGATCTCAGCCTCCTGAGTAGCTAGGAGTAGTAGTACAGGCGTGAGCCACCGGTGCCCAGGTACTTTTATTTTTAAAAATCTTAAAGCATCATCAAGGGGAGGCCATGCCCTCCCCCCTGCCTTCTTACCCCTTACCCAGCTCCCCTCAGAGCTCTGTGACTCACTTCAAAGACCTGCCTGCTGATCCGCATTGTGGCAACAAAAGCTGTCACCTCCACCAGAGCCATCACCATCAGCTGCACCAAGTTGGCCTTCCCCAGGACAGAGCCTGCTGAGATCAACACAGACATGGCGCTCACAGTGGCCACCCGGATCCTGGCAGAGAGAGGGAGAGCCAGGATGACCAAGGGCAAGGATGCTTCTTACTTGTTCATCTGTCTCTCCAGCTACCTTCTCTGCCTGGTACCACCCAAGGCACTGAGGCTACAATGTAGGGGGGATGAGATGAGGCCCCACCCACAGGAGGGCTGCTGCTGCAGCCTAGGGGCTCCTGCCTGGTCCCCTCCCAGGTTCAGAGGCTCCCCTACTAACGCCACCACGAGTTAAGGAGGTGCTTGTTCTCCAGGACCCCTTCCAGGACCTGCCAGCTGGGATTCTGCCCAGGAATCTATTTTCTGCCCTCACTACTTGCAGATGCTCAATAGAGGGCGCTGTGTACCTACCAGCCCACCCGCCATTGGGTTGCTGCCATTCTCATCTCTCCTTTGTCTCTCCCGGCAGACTAAAAAAGCCTAACTGGGTTTGGAAGCCTGGCAAGCCACCTGTGCAATTCTTTAAGCTCGACGCAGCCTGTTTCTCCACCTGTTAGAAGGATAACCATACTTATCTTCTGGTGGTGTAGAGGGATTAGAAGGATGGTTTTCAAATCTGTATGTCTAGTGTCAAGACTGGCACAGAAGCTAGGCGCAGGTGGCTCATGCCTGTAATCCTAGCTATTCAGGAAGCTAAGACCTGGAGGATCAAAGTTTGAGGCCAGCCCAGGAAGAAAAGTTCATTACAGCAGGTTGAGCTAAAAAAGAGGATGAAGTAATCAATGTAGAATTGTTTACACGTGTGAAAATAGCACAATGGAACCTGTTGGAATTGTTTTTAGGCAGAGAGGGGAGGGAGATTGAAAGAGGAGGTGAAATTGACTGACTGTCATTGACTTAAATTGATTGTAACATAAATGGAAATATCACAATGAATTCCCATCCATGTGTAACTAACATATGCTAGTTAAAAAAGAAAAAAGGAAAGTTAGCCAGGCCCCGGTGGCTCACGCTGTAATCCTAGCTACTCAGGAGGCTGAGATCTGAGGATCAAGGTTCAAAGCCAGCCTGGGCAGGAGTTCAAGCCCTGCAACCGACCAAAAGAAAGAAAAAAGGAAAGTTTACTAGACTCCATCTCCAAAATAGCCATATATATATATATATATATATATATATATATGGTTCTTTTTGTGTGTATGTGCCTATATTGGGGCTTGAATTCAGATCCTGTGCACTGTTCCTTAGCTTTTTTGCTCAAAGCTAAAGTTCACACCTCCACTTCCAGCTTTTTGCTGGTTAACTGGAGATAAGAGTTTCACAGATTTTCCTGCCAAGGCTGGCTTTGAACTGCAATCCTCAGATCTCTGCCTTCTGAGTAGCTAGGACTATAGGTATGAACCACCAGCTCCTGGCTAAGTTTGAATTTAGATAAATAATATTCTTTTTTTGTTTGTTTGTTTTTGGTTGTGGGGCTTGAACTCTGGGCCTGGGCACTGTCCCTCAGCTCTTCAGTTCAAGGAGAGCTCTACTTGAGCCACAGCGCCACTTCTGGTTTTCTCAATAGTTTATTGGAGATAAGAGTCTCACAGAGTTTCCTGCCTGGGCTGGCTTTGAACCTCGATCCTTAGATCTCAGCCTCCTGAGTAACTAAGATTACAGGTATAAGCCACCAGCGCCCAGCTAAATATTCTTTCAGAGTAAGAATGTCCTATAGATTACATGGCATCAGTGCTAGAAAAGAGAGAACCTTGCCTCTCAGACCCATGTTGTCAAGGGCCCAAAGGGATCCAGCTGTCATTAGTTACCTGGACAGTCTGATGATCACTTTCTTTTGGAAGGGCTGCTCCAGGACTCCATCCAGCAAGGTGGCCCACTGCACACTGAGGGCCAGCATAAAGAGGTTGAAGCCCATGCTACTCCAGCCATGCCTCCTCAAAGAGGTGGTGAGGAAGCCAAAGCCAAGGGCCGCCATGACAGTGAAATCCTGGAGGACTGCAGGGAGGAGAGGTGGAGGAGGAGAAGAGTGGGAAAGTCACACTTGAGGACAGGGATCACCCCAGAAGAGGGGAGGGGATGCTGGGATGTGATCTAGAATAGTCTGTGATCCAGATCAATTCATGATCCAGGCAGTTTGTCAGTTTGTGCTCTAGAATCAGACACACTTTTTTTTTTTGAGGGGGTCCGGTCATGGGGCCTGACCTCTGGGCCTGGGCGCTGTCCCTCAGCTCTTCAGCTCAAGGCTAGTGCTCTACCACTTAAGCCACAGCACCACTTTTGGCTTTTTTTCTTTTTGCTTATGTGGTGCTGAGGAATCGAACCCAGGGCCTCACGCATGCAAGGCAAGCGCTCTACCACTGAGCCACCTTCCCAGCCAAGTATCAGACACACTTTAATTCAAATGAGGACAGTTGGTACTTACTCGCTGTGTGGTCTTGATCTGCAATCTCTCTGAGCTTTAATAACTGCCTACATTTATTAAGTGTTTACCATGTATTAATAGTTTGCAATTGTTAAGCCTGGTTATCAGATTGATTGGAACACCTAGGAGATTAGTAAAACACACCTCTGGGAGGAAATGAGGGAGTTTCCATTCGTTTATGAGGGCTCTCACTAGTCAACAGTTAATCCACTGAAGGCTCTGGAATCTGAGTACATTATAGGGAGTGGCAGAATTATGGAAGGTGGGGCCTAGGCGAAGGAAATGGCTCCTCAGGGGAGCCTTTGAAGAGTGTCAAGGCTCTTCCTGTTACTCCACTGTGCTTCCTGTCCACCATGAGATGACCAACTCTGCTCTTCCACATCCTCACTGCCATGATGCTCTGCCTCACCATGGCCCAGCACCAATAGAGCCAGCCAATCATGGACTAAAACCTCTGAAACTAGGGGCCAAAAAAAAATCTTTCTCTGTAAATCTCTCTCAGGTATTTATAGCAGAATGAAAGTCTAATTCATAGTGTTTCAATATACCATCCTTACAGTCATTGAGTAGGGTGGGAGCTACATCACCAAGTTACAGATGTGAAAAACAAGACACCAAAGAGTTAGGTCACTTGTACTCCCTGCCCCCACGCAGTCAGGTTTTATCCTAGTAGTCTGCATATGCCATACTCCTTCCTGTCCCCATCTGTCCATTGGAAGCGTGAATACACTTTTTTTTTATGTGGTACTGAGGAATCGAACCTAGGGCCTCATGTATGTTAGGCAAACACTCTGCCAGTAAGCCACATTCCCATCCCTGAATATACTTCTTGATCAGATTGCCAGACCTCAATGGGATCACACACTCACACACACACACAAGCTCAGGAGGGAACAAAATCACTAGTTACTTTCACACCTGGATGATGCCAGGAGAGAGATACTGAAGGATTTCTGTCCTCTGTCCTCTCATGATTCTCATCTCTGGGTTTGGGCAATTTTGATTTTCAGTGTTTAAACTGTCTGCAAGCAGCACGTAGATCATAAATGCTTTTTTAAAAATTACACATCAGAAAAATAAAAAAAAATTAAAAAGAGCAGGGACTTTTGAGTTCCAATAGTTATGTTTGATTCCCAGACCTACCATTTGCTATCAGGTTACACCTGATTAAACTGCCAACTGCTGGCCATTTTTGACTTCCCAAAATGGCAGTTTATACGTTTCTGCCTCATAACATTGTGTGTTGCTTGCTCTCCTCATCAGCTGACAGGGCCCATTGTGCTGGGAAAGCTGAAGGAAGTATATTTAGGTCAAGTTATTGGGTTTGGGGGTCTAGCGAACACTCCATCATCAGGAGCTATTTATCATTATTAGAACCATTGCTGCATGGAGAACTCACCCGCCTCTGCCCTCAGCCGTGGTTCTGCCGCTGTCAGGAAGCTCACATTACTGGAATCTCTCCAACATCTCAAAAAGTCCCTTTGGTGGACAGGGCCCATTCAAATTCCCTGCCACTGAAGAACACACCCTGGGTCTGGCACATTGGGCTGGGGTGGGTGCTGATGTTCCAGATCACTTTGACTGCCCCAGGGTGTAGGAGGGCCCCGAGGACTGCCATATGGGTTTGGGGGTGAGAACTGAGTACCAGGGAAGATTAGACTTTGCACCTTCTTCCCTGACTGGGGGCGGGGAGGGTGGTGCAGGGGAGGCTTCTTCTCCTGCTGGCATCTTTGTGGTGATGGTGGTAGCGCCAGGGGGGCAGGGCACATTTTCCATAGGGGCTTCTTTGGGGAAGGGGAGGATTTCCTTCAGATTGCTGTAGGAGCCAAGCAGGAAATATTTATATGAAGAGGAAGAAGAGAATTAGGTCAGAGAATGGTATGCAGGGCGGGGGAGGGGGGACATCTTTATCAGCCAACCCCAATTCTAGGTATTGGGGTTCATAGCTTTGTCAACCCGCCCCCAAGGGAGAAATTGTGTCTCAGCCAAGATGATAAAATTAGAGCCACAATTTCAAGGAGCTGCACACCCCTACACACACACACACACACACACACACACACACACACACGGATCTGTAAATAACCTCTAGCCTCAGGTCCCCAGCCTCCTAACTCCACTTCCTCCTACTTCCTCTCCAGCCTCCATGGGCTTTGGGCCAAGAACCCAAGAACTCATTCCTCTCACTCTCATTCCCTGTCTGCTCCATTCCCAGCCCCCCTCCCCCCAGCCCCAGGGCATCTCCACTTGCGTTGGTCCTGCCTCTGGCAGTCTGCTTTCTCCCACTTTGGCCACTGGCTACAGATGTGATAAGCTAATGGACCACAAGGTGTTTAGAGGCGATAAGGGGGAGGGGAGATGTGTGCTACTAGCCTTAGTGTAAAGCCCTAGGTCTAAAAGGGGGTGGAGAGCTCAGTGGGGGAGGGGAGGTTATCAGTTGAGCCACACTGGAGTCTCTGGGGAAGCCCTCCGCCTTCTCATAGTGCTTCTTTCAGCATCTGGGGAACAAAAGGGGACGCTGGGGGCACCCACAGCACTGGCCTCAGGACGCCCCCACCCCCCACCATGGTAGCACTAGGGCAGGCTCTGTGTGGTAGATGGCTCCAGCAATAACCTCCAATGACACATAACTTCCAGTATAGACCCCTCCCACTGAGTTTGGTCCTGTAATTGGCTTTGGTTAGTGGGACATCTGTATGTATGTCACAAGCAGAGGCCTGATAAACGTCCCCACACTGGGGCTGCTTGTTCTCTCTCACTGCAGGAACATAGCTGCTCCCATGTGAAGAAGTCTGGGTGGGTTTTCTAGAGTCACTGGCCTACTTACCAGTTGGCACCAAACTGCCAGACATGGAATGAGGCTGAATGAGGCCATCTCAGCCCAGTCAAACCTCCACGCTAGAGACGCATGAGTGACCCTAGTAAAACCAGCAGAAGAACTGCTCAGGCTGAGACTCATCCATTGTGAGCTATTGAATCATGGTTGTGAGTAAATTAAATGGCTGCTATATTTGGTTGGGGATAGTTGTTACTCAGCCATAGCTAGCTGAAACACTGTTTGCCCATAAGCATTTCAGGACACTTCAACTCCCATCACCTCACTCCCATCAGTACCTGCTGAGGAGAGGAAAGGAGCTAACGAGGGCTAAGCATGGTAGCTCATTCCTATGATCCCTGCTGCTTGGAAGTGGGACTCAGGATTGATGTTTACCTTAGTTAGAGCAAAAAGACATCGAGACCCATTTCAGAAATAAAATGGACATGCTAATTCATGCTTATAAGTTCAAGTCCCAGGACTATGATGAGGAATGGATTTAGATGCACTACTGTCAGGAGTAACAATAGATTCTGCTAAACACTGACACCATATGATTAGTAGTTTGAAAACATCATATATTTCATTTTTTCTTTATTTATTGTGTGTATGTGTGCTGGTTCTTGAACTCAAGGCCTAGACACTGTCCCTGAGTTCTTTGCTCAAGGCTAACACTGTTCCACTTGAACCACAGCTCCACTTTTGGCTTTTTGCTGGTTAATTGGAGATCAGAGTCCTAGGGACTTTTCTACCTGGGTTGGTTTTGAACCACAATGCTCAGATCTCAGCCTCCTGAGTAGCTAGTATTACAGGGCTAAACTATGCTATTTTATATAAAAAACTTGAGCTAGGTGATGGTGCTGATCCTAGCTATTCAGGAGGCTGAGATCTGAGGATCATGATTTGAAGCCAGCCTGGGCAAGAAAATCCCTGAGACTTATCTCCAATTAACCACCAGAAAACCAGAAGTGCTGCTGTGGGTCAAGTAGTGGAGGTTTATTTAGCCTTATGCACAAAGAGGTGCAGGGACAGCTCTGAGTTCAAGCCCAGGATGGGCAAAAATAAAATACTACATATATAATGCTATATAGATACATATATTTTTTATTTTTTCACAGGTTCTAACTCTATGGTCTAGGCCGGTCCCAAACTCCTGGGCTCAAATGATCCTCCCTCAGCCTTCCAAGTAGCTGTGACTACAGGCATACACCCTGGGCCCGACATATTAATATAGTTATACTTGAAGACAATGCAAGAATGTGGCATGTACTGCACACGTGTGCACAGGCAGCACACTGCAGGCCTCTGCTTTGTATTCCACCAGTGTCCAGAGAGGTGTCATGCCCAAGCCCTGCCCGCCCCCCACCCCCCCCAGCCCTGCAATGGCTTTTTGCAAGAGCCAAATCCAAGCTCATCAGATGCCTGCTTCTGGTTAGCAGAATAAATGCCAAATTCCTTTTTTACCCCACCCAGCGGTCCACCATGCCCTGCCTCCTTCCTGTATACCGGGGACACATTGCAGTGTCGCAGTGTTGAGCCCCAATAGTCTGCTCTAGTGTGGGCATACACAAGGGCGGCTGCTGGGCTTCACCTTCTCTGCCCACCTTAGTGGTGGATCCCATTCTGTGCTTCCACTGAAAGTGAATTACAAACCAAGAACGGGTGACTCATACCCGTAATCCTAGCTAGTCAAAGGGCTGAGATCTGAGGATCTCTGTTCAAAGCCAGCCCAGGCAGAAAAGTCTGTGAGACTCTTATCTCCAATTAACCACCCAAAATCCAGAAGCAGAGGTATGGCTCAAGTGGTAGAACACCAGTCTTGAGCAGAAAAAGCCAGTGGGAATGAGAGGCTCCAGAACTGGCATCACACACACACACACACACACACACACACACAATTCTACCATGTTTAACAGCACAGCAGAGGCAGAAAGAACCTGGTGCCAATCTACAAGTTTGGCACAAATTTGTGACTCCCACAAACTTGTAACCCTATCCTACCGTGAAGTGGGCCTCGTAACACAGTGGTAAGGTGCACAGAAACTCACCAGAAGGCTGCAGTGATTATAGAAGAACCTGCTGGATGGGTTTGGGGGTCCCTGACAGAGCTCTCTGCATGACAAGTGCTTTCTCTGGCAAGTGCTCCATAAATACCAGTGGTAACCCCTAATCCTCAGGTGTCTGGACCCCACACTGGATGGAACAGTGGTGGAGAGGGGAACAAATGCACATACTGCACTGGAATGGACGTTGCACTGGATTTTAAAGAATGACAATGACATGCAATGAAAGTGATGCTTAGAGGTCTTGCTAGACCAGCACTGAGAGGTGCCCATGCGCTGTCCCGCTTGCTTCCCTACACCCATCGTAACTGCCTTGGTTGTCTCTGCCAGGGGCCCATTGGATGCTGCCTCTCTGCTCCTGGCTAACTAGCTGTCCCCATCCCTTAGGAACAAGCAAGCGCTTCAGCAGGCTCAGGCTTTGGCTCTGTCTCGTGGACATTCCTCAGGCAGCTCCATTTTTTTATCCTAAGCAACCTAGAGCTTGCTGAGATGCCTTGTAATTTTTTTTTTTGGAAGCAAAGTTATACCACTATGGACATCTGTCTTGTTTATCGTTGTTCCCATCACAGTCTGGAGATATTTTTAGCTGTGTATAAAATAACCACCATCCTACACTCCCCTTCATTTCTTCTGGCTCTGGTTTTGTCGAGAATCTGACTTCCCCACCGGAAAGGAGAAAGGAAGTCCTTGCCACAACGGAGAGCAAAGTGGGCGAAGGCAGAGAAGCAAAGAATTAGGGAGACCATGTAGCCAGGAATACGGGGACCATAAGAAGAAATGATGGCCAGGCTGTCCCCCCTCCAAGAACTTACATTGTCAGGAGGAAGGGGGGGTCCTTTTTCCTAGAGAATGTTCTAGAAAACAAGATCCGTGCCCTTGAGGAACTACAGACACTAACCCCCCTGCCCCCCCCATCCCCTGCACATGCCTCTGTGAACCTCACCTTGGTAGGTCTCCAGGATCTTCTGCTCCCCTGAGGGCACATCATAGGAGGTGAAAAAGGCAAAGATGAGAATGAAAGTCACCTCCAGCGTCAAGGCCCACGGGGGCAGCCAGCAGCGCACAGACTGGGGGTACTTGGAGCCCATTTCCAGTTCCGTCTATGCCAGGGTTCTGCTAGTGCCGGGCCTCACCCTTGTCCCCTACACCCACTTACAGACTCAAGGGAGCGATAGGGGAAACGCCCGCCAAAGGCCTTATCTCAGGCACTGCTGGCTCCTCAGCCTGCCTATGGAGTTTACACAGAAGAGGGGCTTGGCTGCGGAGGGAGGCAATGCATGTACTCACTAGCATTAATTCATTCAGCAAGTCCCTGTTGGGGAATGCTCACGGTGCACAGTTTAAACTTACCTTTCTTCTTGTTCCTTCAGTTCATCCTCACCATATCCTAGTAAGAAAGGCCAGGACTGGGGCTGGGGGCAGGACTCAGTGTCAGAACACCTGCCAAGCATGTACAAAGCCCTAGGTTCCATTGCCAGCACTGGAGAGAGGGAGGCAGGCAGGGGATAGATCAACATTTCACAAAAGGGGAAACTGAGGCTCGAGAGAGTTTTTAGATTGGCAAAGTTTCTCTTTAAAATCATATCTCACAATCACTGAGTGTTGGGGGCTTATGCCTATAACTTTACTTAGGAAGCTAAGATCTGATGATTGTGATTTGAAGCCAATCTAGACAGAAAATTCTATGAGACTCTTACCTCCAATTATCCAGCAAAATAAAAGCTGGAAATTGAGCTGTGGCTCAAATGGTAAAGTGCCAGCCTTGAGCAAAAAGGTAAAGAAAGTGAACTGGCCCTTAATTCAAGTCCAGTAGTGGCACACAAAGAGAGTCTTACTCTTAAAGAGTGAGGGTACCCAGGGAGATCTTGTCAAGAACACACTGAGCTGGATGCCAGTGGCTCACATCTGTAATTCTAGCTACTTGGGAGACTGAGATCAGGAGGACTGCAGCTTGAGGCCAGCCCAGACAGAAAAGTTTTTGTGTCAGTAGTGGGGCTTGAACTCAGGGCCTCATGCTCTAGCATGGCCTTTTCTGTTCAAGGCTAGTGCTCTACCATTTGAGCCATATCGCCACTTTGGCTATTTGCTGTTCAATTGAAGATAATCTCTCAGATTTGCCTGCCAAGGCTGACTTCAAACTTCAATTCTCAGATATCAGTCTCCTGAGCCATTAGTCCCCTGGCCTGATTTTTCCTTCCTTCCTTCTCTTTTTTAAAAATACATTTTTTTATTGCAAAAATACAATTACATGAGCAAGGTAATGAGTACATTTCCTATCAAGCATTGTTGCTTCCTCCTTTGTTTTTCCCCTACCATCCCCTCCCTCCCACCCCCTTTTCCTTTCTCTCCCCTTTCTCTCTCCCTCTCTCTCTTTCCTTTGTTAGTCCTGAGGCTTGAACTCAGCACCTGAGTGGTATCCCTTAGGTTTTTTGCTCAGGGATAGAGCTCTACCACTTGAGCCACTCTCCACTTCTTGCTTTCTTGTGGGTTTACTGGAGATACAAGTCTTATGGATTTACCTGCCTGAGCTGGCTTCAAACCATGACCCTCAGATCTGTCTCATGAGTAGCTAGGATTACAGATGTAAGCCACTGGCACTTAGCCTGATTTTTTAAAAGCAAGGCCTATGTGTGGAATTACTTCATTAATGTCCTTTTTTTCTTTTTCTTTTTGTCGGTCATGGGGCTTAAACTGGGCTGGGTGCTATCCCTGAGCTCTTCAGCTCAAGGTGAACACTCTACCACTCTGAGCCATAGCGCCACTTCCAGTTTTCTGGTGATTAGAGATAAGAGTCTCACAGACTTTCCTGCCGGGCCTGGCTTTGAACCTTGATCCTTAGGTCTCAATCTCCTGAGTAGTTAGGATTACAGGTGTGAACCACCAGCACCCAGCTCACTAATGTCCTTCATAGTCATAGATGGATAATAGATAGAAAGATAGATAGATAGAATTAATTCATGCTGGTTCCAGTAGGTTGATTGCAGGTGTATGCCACACACTTGGATTGAGAACAAGAACTTCAGTCTGTGGTTACTGCTATACCTTTCAACCAGATGCTCAGTCTGTAGTAGGTGCTCAGGAAATATTTGTTGAATGAATAACAGCTCCCATTTCCAGAATAGCAAATGCTGGAGCAAACATTTTACTCACATTAAACCTTCCTCCTAAGCCTATGAGGGCAGATGTCATTACCCCTGTTTTACTGATGAAAAATATGCTGTTCAGAGAGGTGATCCAAATCCCAAAGTCACACAACTAATAATGGCAGAGCTGAGACCCAACCCAGACACATCTGATGACACAGCTGAGCTATCAATTACTTCACAATTCTGCCTCCCAAGTCACTAGCTCACCACTGTCTCAATACTTTTCTGAGTCTAATAAGATGACCTGCTTTGCTTCCACTCAAGATTATTATAGATGTGAAAACATGACATGCCCAGACAATCTGAGCTACAGAAATGAGGAGCTGATCTGAATGACCAGGCTTCCTGAAGCAAGTCAGAACCCACAGCTTTTTCATGTAATCACACCTCTTCTTTCAAACCAGAGCTCTGTAAGTACAAAGTGCTACTGCTGTTGTCATGGTGTTGTATTAGGCTTACCTGGTAAACATGGGGTTAGGCCAGTCCTTCCATCACTCAACACGAGCTTTAGAGTCAGACAATCTGGGTTCAAATCCTGTCTCCACGATGTTCAGCTGTAGCCAGCCACTGGTGGTTCACATTTGTAATCCTAGCTATTCAAGAGGCTGAGATCTGAGGACTGAGGTTCAAAGCAACCCCAGGCAGCAAAAAGGCTGCTAGAGTACCAGCCTTGAGCAAAAAAAAAAAAAAAAAGCTAAAGGACAGCACCCAGTTAGGGCACACACACGCGCATGGGCGTGCGTGCGCGCACGCACACACACACACACACACACACACACACACTATTAGCTGTGTCACCTTGGGCAAGACACTCAAGTCTCTCTGGGTCTGTTTCCTCAGCTGTAAAGTGGAAGACAGAAAACTGAATATGCAAAGATGCATACAGCTTACATAAAGTGTCTAGACTTTAATATCTCTAATCACCAGCACTGCTTTGATGCTTTGAATCTGAGATGTCCCCCAGAGGCTTGGTGGCTTTGGTTGTCACTGGCGAACCTTGGGGGAGTGACTGGATCCCAAGGGCTCAGTGATCAGTCCATTGATGGAATCATAATTGGGTGGTAGTGTTGGGAGTTGTGGAAATAGGAAGTGGGGCCTGGTTACTGGAAGGTCACGGGATATGACTTTGAAGGGTAGACCTTGTGTGCAGCCTCTTCTGCCCTGTCTCTGCATCTGGCTGAGATGGTAGAAGCAGCCCTGCCTGGATGCTCTTCTTAACCATGGCCTACAGTAATGGAGCCAGCCCATTCTGGATGGAATCCTGAAACTCTGAGAACAAAGTCCAGCTCCCTGGAAGCTGTTTGCCTCCATATTGTGTCAAGTGATGAGAGCTTTTGCTTTTTGTTTTTATGTGGATTGGTGTTCTGCCTCCCACCCCCACACCCAATGGGACTGTATCATAGCTTGCTGTTTTACCCCATCACAGTGTATTATCATGAGCAGTTTCCATGCCAGAAAAATCCTACAACACTTTGCATGATGGCTGAGAGCTCGAGCTTTGCCAGTGGACTGCCTGGATTCATTCTATCTATCTATCATTATTATAAAGGTGATGTACAGCTGGGCACTGGTGACTCATACCTGTAATCCTAGCTACTCAGGAGGCTGAGCTCTAAGAATTCCAGTTCAAAGCCAGGCTGGGCAGAAAAAAATCTGTGAGACTCTTATCTCCAATAAACCACCAGAAAATTGGAAGTGGCTCTGTGGCTCAAGTGGAGCGCTCACCTTAAGCTGAAGAACTCAGGTACAGCGCCTAGGCCGAGTTCAAGCCCCATGACTGACCAAAAAAAGAAAAAAAGGTGATGTACAGAGCATTAGTTTCATGTCAGGTAATGAATAAATTTCTTTTTCGATAATGTCACCTCTTCCTTCACTCTCTCCCAGTGGAATCAATCTTGACATTTTCTTTCACTTGCTGTGTGAGCTTAGGCAACTGATTGAACTCTCTGTGTCACAACTTTCTCATCTGCAATCCTGCAAGGGGGGCAAGGATAAAGAAACTCTGCAAGCTCCATGTTAACTCAGGCCTTCCATTCATTCAGAAAGGACATGAACAGAATGCTCTAACTGGAACGGCAAAAAAGCCTTCAGCTGCCAAAACAGATTGGTTTATGGAAGGACCCAAATCAATATGATCAGAGAGGCTTGGATGCATCAGTGTTAGTAATAAATATTAAAACAAGATGTGTATGTATGGTATTTGCAACAGAGACTGTGATAAATACTGAGTATAATTTATGAGGCTACACTGACTTCCATGGTGAGGTTGTATGAAACTCTGTTTGATCAGTCCTCTTCAGACGCTATCTGGGATGTTTCCAAACTGTTCTTTTTTTTTTTTTTTTTTTTTTTGGTTGGCCGTGGGGCTTGAACTCTGGGCCTGGGCGCTGTCCCTCAGTTCTTCAGTTCAAGGTGAGCACTCTACCACTTGAGCTACAGTCCCACTTCCGGTTTTCTGGTGGTTATTGGAGATAGGAGTCTCACAGTCTTTCCTGCCCAGGCTGGCTTTGAACTGTGATCCTCATATCTCAGCCTCCTGAGTAGCTAGGATTACAGGCGTGAGCCACCAGCGCCCAGCTCCAAACTGTTCTAAACACTATGGTGAGCATCTTCCAAGGGTAAGAGTTCTCTGAGGGATACAGGCACATGTATGTTGCTGTGATTGGTTGAGAAACACAGTTCAAGGCAGCTGGGTTGGCCAGCCAGAATGCATACTTCCTTACTTGTAAAATGGAAGCTCTCCACAGGGCTGTTTTGGAGCTCAGCTGTACAAATCCCATCAGTAAGTCCCAGGAGGAAGGACAGATCTAAATTCCCACCTTGGCCTTGATCTTTTGAATGAGAGTAAATTATTTCCCTTGTGTTTTACTCACCGATGCAATCAGTGGAGGCTGCTGGTCCCCTCTGCTTCCCGAGGAGCAAGAGGTGCTCCAGTCACTCTCAGGTAAGCCCATGTTTGTGCTCTTAGGAACCCAAGTGGCCATCTCAAGACTCAGGGGAAAAGCTGGTACCCAACTAGAGCCAAAGGGCTTCAGTGAGGATAGGCCAGGAAAAAGCAAGTGATCTGGAGAAGAATATGAGAAGGCAGTTCCATTCAGGTCTGTCCTTAGACTCTCGGTAGGAAGGTCATCTTCATCATCCCACCCCAACCCGACAACCTCAACTCCTTCCATTCACCACCACACTGGACTCCACAGCATGGGCCTGAACCTCAAGGCTTCATCTTTGCTCAGCTCTTGCTCCAGCAAAATCACTCTACTATATCCATTTTTGTGACCTTGTTTTCTGAACCTGTTTTCTCTTCCGTAAAGTGGAGCTAACATGACCTGCTTCTAAACATAGGGCTGGACACAGCTCCAGAGAGGACCCTGGCACAGCATAGGCAGATGACCCAACAAAGGACACTAGCCAGTGGCCAGATGAATTGGGATTGGAACTCCAATCTCCAGACCTTTGGCTTGCCTCCATGTGAGAGATTCTCTCTCACCTGTCTCTGTACAAGATAGCCATGTTGGGAATTTATCTGATGGCAAGCTAGACTGTGGGCTACAGAGCTGTGTCCTCTTTCATCTCGGTTCTCACTTGCCCATTCCAGGGCATGCCAGGCTGTAGTTCTTCTCTAACAGGGACACAATGAGGAGTGAAAAGGGGAACCACAGATTTGGTCTCTCAATTCATGGAGTCGTTGGATGTCTCAGTTTGTCCAGGAAACCTGGGAGCTTGCAGAATAGAAAGATGGAATATTCTTGGAGTCCCATGGAACCAGCATCTAACCGTACCTATTTCCTGGCTAACACACTGAATCATCTAATCTTATTGATTTAGGTCCTGCCTGTATCTTCTTCCACAAACCAATGTGTTTTGGCAGCTGAAGGCTTTTCTGCTATTCCAATTAGCGCATTCTGTTCATGTCCTCTCTCAACAAATGGCAGGCCTGAGTTAACGTTGAGCTCATGAAGTTTTTCATCCTTTATCAACATGCTGGAATAGAGGTGCGGGATGAAAACCAAGTATATTGGTAAGAGTAGATAGATGAGCCAGGTATGGTGGTGCACACCTACAATTCCAACACTCAGGAGACTGAGGCAGGAGGGTCATGAATTTGAGGCCAGTCCGGACTACACAGAGAGACTCTGTCTCTAAAACATGAACAAAAAACAAAAAACAAAAGCATTACTTTACCTCCTGCTTGCCTGGCTCTGAATGCTTGTTTATCCTCCAAGCCTTAGCACAAACCTGAACGCAATCAGAGGCTTTGAGGAATTCAGTAACTTGCCCAAGCTAGTAAGTGACCAAGCTAGAATTTCAACCCCAGTCTGAAATAACAGGAAGCCTTGCTACTTTTCTAAATTGTATCTCTGTTGGGTATGAATCTGTTCCCAAGAAGTTTTTTACCCAGATAGATGAACAGCCTCACTTGAGAGACCCAAGACACAGCACTGATGGATGCTCTGGGTGGGAGCAAAAGCTGAAGGAAGAAGATTACGTTGCAATGAGAGTTAAAACAGAAAGAAGGGTAAGGCTTGCTTGCCTTCAAGGCTTGGAAGATGAGGGCAACTTGTACTGTGTGAGACCAGCTCTGGATGTCTTAAAGCAAGGATTTTTTCTTTTAAGACACTGGGGGATTTTTGAAGGTTTGTGAACAGGAGAAAGTGACAGTGATTGAGGACAGAGAATGTCTTTGTTGGGGTAGGTGCTGAATAAAAGGGTGATCCCAGGGCAGGGGGTCCTGTGGCCCACCACAATAGAGTGGGCCCCTACTTCCTGAGTGTTTTCAAATGTGTTAGAAGACTAACTGCCTCATTATTGCTGAGGGTTAAGCTGGAAGAGCCACACGGTAGGGCAATCTGCAACCATCTGCAAATATTTATGAAGGGCGTATAGCTTACACTAAAGAACAGAATACCAAGACCGAAGGTGTGGCTCAGGTGGTAGAGGACCAACATCGGAGCATGAAGTCCCACGTTCAAGCCCCAGTACTACTGGAACAAAAAAAGTGGGATACAAAATACAAATGTCTACTATGAACACCGATCTATTGAATAATGACAGTTCTGTTAGCCATGGAAGAAACTTGGGGAAATAAGTTCAATAAAATACTAAGCGCAGTGGTTGTGTTCCGCTTATGTAAGAGACGAGTGTGGTTCTTTTTTCTTCTTTAAGCATTTTCCTAACTTTTTCTAAATGACACACATCTTACGTTTTCCTCCTCCCCCCAATCTTGTCCGTTCTGACGGTTCTTCAGCCTTACCTCTAAGGCAAGGGAAGTTAAGAGCTATCAATGAGCAAACAGATGCAATCCACCTAGCACCGTGGGCCTTTGGGTGTCTTCCGTCGCCAGGTGCCACCTCGGAGCCGCCG